ACCTCCCAAAGTGCTGGGATTACAGGCATGAGCCACCGCGCCCGGCCTACATTTTGGTAATTCTTGCAGTATTTCAGCAAATGCTTTTATTATTATTGTATCTGTCATGGTGATATGTGATCACTGATCTTTGATATTACTATTGTAATTGTTTTGGAATGCCATGAACTGCACCCACTCTAAGGTGAACTTAAGTGATCAGTGTTGAATGAGTTCTGATGCTCCACCAACTAGCAATTCCTCCATCTTTCTCCCTCCCCTCAGGCCTCCTTATTCCCTGAGGCATTACAATGTTGAAATTAGGCCAATTAATAATCCTACAATGGCCTTTAGTGTTCAGATGAAAGGAAGAGTCACATATCACTCATTTTAAATCAAAAGCTAGAAGTGATTAAGCTTAGTAAAAAGGCATAGTGGAGGCTGAGATAGGCTGAAAACTAGGGCCTGTGCACTAAGCAGCCAATTTGTAGATGTAAAGGAAAAATTATTCATGGGAATTAAAAATGCTACTCCAGTGAACACATGTATGATAAGAAAGCAAAACAGCCTTATTGCTGATACAGAGTTTGAGTACTCTAGATAGAAGATTAAAGCAGCCACAACACTGCCTTAAGCCAAAGCCTAATCCAAAGTAAGGACCTAACTCTGTTCAATTCTGTGAAGGCTGAGTTGAGAAAACTACAGAAGAAAAGCTGGAAGCTAGCAGACGTTTGTTCATAAAGTGCAAGGAAAGCGGCCATCTCCATAACATAAAAGTGTAAAGTGAATCAGCAAATGCTGATGGAGAAACTGTAGCAGGTCATCCTGAAGGCCTAGCTAAGATCATCGATGAGGGTAGCTACATGAAACAGATTTTCAGTATTGATGAAACAGCCTTTTACTGGAAGAAGATGCCATCTAGGACTTTCATAGCTGGAGAAGAGAAGTCAATGACTGGCTTCAAAACTTCAAATGAAAGATTAACCCTTTTGTTAGGGGAACATGCAGGTAGTGACTTTAAATTAAAGCTAATGCTCATGGACCATTCTGAAAATCCTAGGGCCATTAAGAATTATGCTAAACCAACTCTGCCTGTGCTGCAGAAATGTAACAACAAAGTTTGGATGTGATAGTACATGTATTTATAGCATGATTTACTGGATATTTTAAGCCCACTGATGAGACTTACTGCTCAAAAAAGATTCCTTTCAAAATGTTACTGCTCATTGACAATGCACGTAGTCACCCAAGAGCTCTGATGGAGATATGGGGGAGATTAATATTGTTTTCATGCCCACTAACAGCATTCATTCTGCTTCCCATGGAATAAGGAGTTATTTAGATTTTCACATCTTCTTATTTAAGAAACACATTTTGTAAGGCAATCATTGCCATAATGATTCATCTGATGGATCTGGGCAAAGTAAATTGAAAACCTTCTGGAAAGGATTCACCATTCTAGATGCCATTGAGAACATTTATGATTCATGGGAGGAGATCAAACTATCGACATTAACAGGAGTTTGGAAAACTTTGATTCTAACCCTCATGGATGACTTTAAGGGGTTCAAGACTTCCGTGAAGGAAATAACTGCAGATATGGTGAAAATGGCAAGAAAACTAGAATTAGCAGTGGAGCCCGAACATGGGTCTGAGTTACCATAATTTCATAAAACTTGAATGGATGAGGAGTTGGTTCTTACGGATGAGCAAATAAGTAGCTTCTTGGGATGGAATCCACTCCTAGTGAAGATGCTATGAACATTGTTGAAATGACAACAAAGGATTTAGAAGATTACATCATTATAGTTAAGAAGATTGACTCCAGTTTTGAGAGAATTTCAACTGTAGGTAACATGCTATCAAACAGCATCACATGCTACGGAGAAATCTCTCATGAAAGGAAGAGTCAACTGGTACAGCAAATTTCATGGTTTACTATTTTTAAGAAATTGCCACAACCATCTGAAGCTTCAGTAGCCACCACCCTTGTCAGTCAACATCCATCAACATGGAGGCAAGACCCTCCACTAGCAAAAAGATTAGGACTTGCTGCAGCCTCAGATGATTATTAGCGTTTTTTTAGCCATAAAGTATTTTTTGATTATTATTTTTAGACATATGCTATTGCATACTTAATAGACTGCACTATAGTGTAAACATAACTTTTGTATACACCGAGTAACCACAAAATTTATGTGATTCACTTTATTTTGATACTTGATTTATTGCTATGATCTGAAACCAAACCTGAAATATTTTTGAGTTGTGGGTGGATGGATGGATAGATGGATGGATGGACAGATGGACGGATGGACACACAAATAGATATATAGATGAGATATGCCTGGATAGATAGAGAAAATGTACACTGTTGTTTTATGTGTATGTGTGTTTTTATAAATAGTGTCCTACTACGTATTACTGATCATCTTTCAATTAAGTTTTTTAAAAGTTTCCCGGTTATCTCTGGTTAAAAATAGTTTTATACTACCATTTCTGTCTCAGGCATAACTGTGAAGGAGATGACTTTTTTTCTTGGTCTCTGTTATTTTGCTCATTACCTCTTTCATCCATCTTCAGTTTTCAAACCCCCTCTCTCTGTACACACTTAGTATGTTTTCTGTCCTCACCCTGCCACTGAGACTCTAAACAAGATTCCTATATTTTACTTTGAACTTGTCAATGTCTTACTTACCAAATTGTATATTAATCCATGGAACCAAGCATAAAATAAAAGGCTGTGTGCCAGTTAAAAGATATTCCAGTACCAATAAGACAGTGGAGGATATATTTTGGGGAGCACAGGTCTCTTCTCTGTCCTGAAGTCTCACCTATCAGTTTCCAGCTCATTCTGTGAGACCACAAAGCCAACTCTTCCAAATGATATTTTGAAAGAAAACAGTGCACATTTTGAACAGGTCTTACATTTTGGTATGGAACCTCTCGTCAGAGTTCTAATTTATAATCTGAAATCATGGGCTCCTCTCCTTAGCCAGGAGTAAGACAATGAATGCTTAAGAAGATTGTTCAACAATTACAAATGAAAAGGAGACAGATTATCTGCTAATACATAAAAGCAGTACTCCTGCTGCTGTTATGTGGTAGTGATGGTTGTGACACTCCTACCGAGCCTACTGGACCTAAAATATCAGGAGATGCTGTAAGATGGAAGAGGCCATCAAACCACAGCATGACCACAGCCCTGGGAAAGAACCGTTGGGTCCCCCACTCAAGGCATTTGTCTCCTCTTGGGTCATTTTGGATCCCAAACATTAAACATAATTTGTTAGCGATATAATCTTTTGTAGTTTTCAAATTCATCATCCTGATGCTGTTCTCTACCTTGAAGAATGTGTGCCTACTTATTAAGTACCAGTTACAATGCCAGCCATTTTGCAATACTTCATATTTAATAAATGTCAGATTTAATAAGGTAAAGGTTAAGAAAAACGTTATATGGGTGAAACCATTGAAGTTCAAGGTTGCCCAAACCAAAGTGATTATTTCATAATTCAAACTGAGATGGCGTTAACTCCAAAGTCTGTCTTTTTCACTGTACCTTGCAGCTTTTTTTTCATGTCCCCCGGTTCAGTCAACCATGGTGTACAAATTATTTTACAAACAATCATGTATAATATTTTGGATTCTCATTTTTGAGTCTTTTTTTTTGGAAAGTTTTAAAAATAAGTTTCATAATTAGGTATACTATTGCAAATGTAATTTGCCACTTTGGAAATTCTACCAGCCAAAACCCACTTAAATGCTTACTGATAGAAATTTTCTTTTCACCAAAAGCACCTGCTATCTAACATAATGACCAATAGCAAGAAGCCACTCAAATACTCAAGGCTGTTCACTGACTAGATTTGTTTTTCTATTCTCAAATTCTTAAATTAATGAAAGCCCTGAGTTTTGTTGAGGGATTACACAAACTCTATAGGTTTAACAATGCCCTACAGGGGTTTTGAAAGGGGAGTTAGAATTTTCTTTCTCTGGCTATCCAGTTATCTGATAGTTATTTTATATAAGTCACTATTGTGGTTTGGCCTTTAAGAATTTTTTATTGTTACAAAATGAATTGTTACTACTACAAATTATTTTCCTGTTAAGATATTTGCACTACATGTAATTTCTCTACACATTTTGTATTATATTTAGTGATAATACAGCATACCTAAAATGACCTGTTTTTGTGTGTGTACTATTAATTGATATATTTGCTGTGTATTGATACTTGAATTCATTAATGCAGAATTTATGGAAGAAAATAAGATTGATTTTTCTGGACTTTCATTTCTTGCCTCAGTTCTAAGAATTTTGTTTTGAGAAGATAATGCTATTTTAAGTCTAAGAAAATACCTTAAGGTTATTAGATATATTCATGTTTAGCAAACTATTCAGAAATTTATTGAAAAATCAAATCAACTAATTCTTTTGAATTTTGAGTAAAGAATAACATTTATGCACGTTCACAAGGTGAGATACCTGTGTTACTTAATGTGATTTATATTGTGCACATAGTGAAGCTGTGTTTGTAAGTTTCAAAGGTTGCATGTTAGCATGGTGGGAGATATGGAGATTCAAGACCTTGTGCATATGCTTGTTTTAATTCACCAATGCTATCCCACAGGTATTTGTGAAATAGTTTAGGGATGGCATTCAGTATGTACTGGTGGCTCGTATTTTAGAAATGCAGGCAAGATCTCATTTGTAAATTTCTTGGATTGAAAATATCTTCAAGACAGTGTTCTTAGCTTCTTAGACTGTTTAATGATTCAAATTTTAGAGAACAAAACCTCATGAAGCCACTGGCAATATTATTAAGCTTATTGTTACCTTTGTAATCAGTCTTTTTGCATACTGTAGTTGCCCACCCACCTGAATACTAGCCAACTCTGATTTATTTAATTTCCCCCAAAGAATGCTGTCCTACTGCATTGTGACATTTTCACAATGACATATATTGTTTCATACTTAGAAATTTAAGTTAATAATGACATTTCCATTTTGTTTTACAGAGCATCAGGGCATCGGGCCTTATCCTGTTGGAAACAATCCTTTTTGGATCTCTGCTCCTGTACTTTCCAGTAAGTAACATCATCATGTTTTTAAAGTAGACATGTATTTTATATTGCATACTGTAAAGCTGCTTTTTACACACACGCACACACACACCCCTGGTGTTACCAGGAAGTGAAAAGAAAGAGCAGAGGTTATTGAAGGAAGTTGTTGATGAGAAGAGTCAAACTCTAAAATACTCGAAGAGGTTTATTCTGAACCAAATATGAATGACCATGGCCCATGACACAGCCCTTAGGAGGTCCTGGGAGCATGTGCTCCAGGTGGTTGGGTTGCAGCTTGGTTTTCTACATAGAGACATTAGACTTCAATCGGATTCTTTTGAGAAATATGTTGGCTTGGTCCAGAAAGGAAGGAGAATTTGAAGTGTGGGGGGCTTCCAGGCTGTAGGTGAATTTAAATATTTCCTGGTTGACAATTGGTTGAATTTGTCTAAAGACCTGGGATCAATAGAAAGGAAATGTTCAGATTAAAATAAAAGATTGTGGAGACCAAGGTTGTTTTGAGGTCTCACACTGGCTGCCCTTAGAGACGACAGATGACAAATGTCTTCTATTGGTCCTTTGAAAGGTGCTAGACACTCAGTTGATATCTTTAACTGACTTTTAAGAGGTGCTAGACACTCACTTAATATATTCAGGATTGGGAGGGCCTGGAAGAAAAACATCTAGCTATGTTAATAGAGATTCGTTACAGACGCAAATTTCCCCCCACAAAGGACGGCTTTGCAGGGTCATTCCAAAATATGGCACAGGAACATGTTTTGGGGTAAAAATATTTTTATTTTCTTCTTTGTCATGTCATGTTATGCCAGAGTCAGACAGGAAAGTAAGTCATGATATATAGGGTTAAATAAAACCCATCTGATGAAAATTTATTGTTTGTAGGGCATGATTCCACAGACCCCTTAGATAGGAATTTGGGCAAGGTAAATAAAAATCAGAGCTTGGTCGTCAAAGTACACTCCAAGAGAAGAGTGGGCTGGTCTGGCTGGAAATCAGTAGCAAAGCAGGGTGCTTGAAAGAGGATGAGCCACCAGCTCTGAGGGTTTTGCAGTGCTGCTTTTACTATGTCAGACTATTTCTTTAAGTTCCTGTCTGTGTCTCAAATCTCTCACTTTGTCTTTGACTAGTTTCTTGCTCTGCCTCAAGTCCCCACACTGTTCTAGCCCCAGGTTTGTAGGAGTCTCCCTTGCTGTCTGTTGATGCACATGTGCTGCCTGTCATTAGATACAAATTCTACCAACGGCAGCGTTGCTCCTTACCACCATCCCAGGAAGGTCTTATCATGGCTAAATCTGCATTTGTTGCACCTGAGTATCTCTTAGGAATTTCTCCTTTGCCCTCTTTCCCTCTTCTCAGCATGTAGCTAGCTACATTCTGACAGGTTAATTGCAGGATGAGTGATCACTGGGCATCTTAAGGGGTGTATGGGGGAGTTCCTTTCTGCGTAGGTAGTTCTTCTCTCTCTGCTCATATCTAGCAGGCATGTTTCGGGTAACCTCTGGGGTGTGAGACTTTTCAGACTTTCCTTTCTCAAGGGCTCCCCCCTCCTGCTATGTCTGGCCATTTGCCTAGTCTAACACAAGGGCTTTACAGATGTTTAAATCCTGGGTTTTACCATTTGAGTGACCTTAGACAAGTTACTTAATGTTCTTAAACCTTGGTTTTCTCTTATAAAATGGTGCTGATTATACTTTGCTTCCCATATTTGTGAGGAAGATTAAGTGCTTCAGTGAGGTAACATATGAAAGGCAAATTTGGTATGTATGCTTAATATATACAAATACATATCACTTTCCTTCTTCCTTCCCCTCTCCCTGAATCAGAACCATCAGACACACCAATTAATGTCAGAAAAATTGAAATGGTTGCATAGTAAAATAAGCATGATGAAATAAATGAATGTATGGTACCAGTGGCTTATATAATCATGGTGGACTCTATCATACCAGTAACATGTCTGAAACCAGAAGATAAGTACTGAGTTTACAAATTCAACTCAGCCAACTTAAGTTCAGTGGTTATTGTGTGCCAAGCACGATGCTAATTTCTGGCAGTACTCAATGAGCAAGACAAACTTGATTTCTCAAGAATCTTACAGAGTAGAGGAAGAGATGAGTTAGTACAAACAATGATAACACAATGTGACAAACACTAAGCGAGCAGAAAGGACAGGATGCTGTGGAGGCACTTAGGAGAGACACCTAATCAAGCTTAGGGAATAAAGGATCCCTTGGCAGAGACCTGAAAGGTGTGTAAGTATAAGAGAAGAAAAGGTAGGGCTGCTGGGACACCAGATTCTTTTTGTTTTGTTTTGTTTTGTTTTTTCTTGCCTCACTCCCTGCTCCATCTCAGCTTGCTTTGTTGAGTCTTCATTTTACCTCCCACCTCTTCACACTTGAATGCCTCAGAAGTGAGTTCTTGTAGCTTTTCTTAATCTGCACTCTCACTTGATGATCTCATCTAGCCTCAAAGCTTTAAGTACTATTTAAATGCCAATGACTGCCAAATTTATATCTCCAACCCAAACCTTTCTCCTTAGCTCCCAACTCATATTCAGCTGCTGAGGCAACCACTCCATTTGCATGTCCAGCAGAATTCCCTATCATGTGTTCAGCTGAGGCATTGATCTCTCCCTCAGATTCAGCCTTCCAGTTTCCACTGTTGGCAGCTCTATCATTCTAGTTACTCAGGCCAAAAACCTAGGAATCATTCTTGAGACCATTCTCTCCCTCACATCAGAAAACCTTTAAAGACACAGCAAGAATCTAATGAGCCCCTGCCACATTCACTGCCACCACCTGGTCTAAACCATGATCCGCCCCTCCTGGATTGTTGCCGTGATCCCTTATCAGCCTCTCTTCTTCCATTCTGGCCCCATAGAGTGTATCTATTTTCAAATATCACCCAGTTTTAACATGAAAGTTAGACTGACCATGTCACTCCTCTTTACAAAACTCCCCAAAGATTCCCATTTTACTTAGAGTAAAAGCCAAAATCCGTCCTGTGGCCTCTAAGGCTTAACTTTTCTATTTATTCTTAAAATGGAAATACATTTAAACATAATCAGTGCTATGATCTGACTGTGTCCTCCAAAATTTATGTGTTAGAAACTTAATCTCCAATGCCATGGTGTTGGGAAGTAGGGTATTCTGGGAGGTGTTTAGAACCTCATGAATGGGCTAATGCCCTTACATGTAAAAGGGCTTGGTGGAGGGAGTTTGGTCCTTTTTGTTCTTCTCCCTTCCACACAGCAAGAAGGCCCTCACCAGAAACCAGATGCTGACACTTTGATCTTGGATTTTTCAGCTTCCAGAACTGTGAGAAATACATTACTATTCTTTGTAAATTACCCAGCCTCTGGTATTTTGTTATAGCAGCACAAACAGACTAAGACAGTCAGTATTAAAGTTTTTATAAAGTCATCCATATTCTTTAAGTTTTCTAATTTTCTAGCAAAGAGTTATGCATGGTATTAGTAACAGAAGCAATACAGCAGTATAAAGACTGTTTATCATTGGTACACTTCCTGTATAAATGTGTCATGCATCTTAACCTTTAATCTTTCCCACAGAACCCTAGGGCAGATATTTAACCAGTCATCAGATCATCTAATAAAGAATGAAATATCTGAAATGACTTCAGTAACCTGTTGAAAAATTTTAATTATCTGAATATCTGTTGTTAACCCTTATCTTTTATTTTTAACCTCTGCTATTTTTAAATCAGTTTTCCATCCAGTAGCCAGAGAGATACACAAATGTCAAATCGAGTTACCTCTGATGACTTCTTTTGACATATTAGGTCTGCTGCGGTCCTTGCCCACCTCCCCAGCCTCGTCTTAGATTACCTTTCTCCTCGCTTTCTGCTCTCCAACCACCCTGACCTTCTTTCAGTTCTCAGATAAAACATGATCTGTTTCATGATAGGCATAATAATGGTCCTCAACAATGTCCACAATCCTAATCCCTGGAAAGTTTGAATATGTTACCTTACTTGGAAAAAGGGACTTTGCTGATAGGATTATTTTAAAGACTTTGAGATAGGGAGATTATCCTGGAGTATCTGAGTATGCCTATGGCTCCTAAGAGAAAGAGGGAAGCAGAAGAGAAAGAACCAAATAGATGGCATAGTGAAAAAGATTGACTGGCATTGATCATTTTGAAGATAGGTGAGGGAGGTTGCAAGCTGAAGAATGCAGGCAGCCTCTAGATGCTGGAAAAGGCAAGTAAACAGTTTCTTCCCCTAGACCCTCTACAAGGAAGGCAGCTCTGCCAACACCTTAATTGTAGTTCCTTAAGACTCATTTTGGGTATAGGAGCTCCAAAACTATAAGTCCATGTTGTTTAAAGCCGCTAAGTTTTATGACACTATGTTACAGCAGCTATGGGACGCTAATACACCTCCTGTCATAGGACCTCTTCACGTACCTTCTTTTGTTTGTTTTGAAAAATCTTCCTCTTTTTCTTTTCCTCACTCCTACCCTACCATCCTTTAGGCTCATTACCAGATAGTCATTTTCTAGATTTCTCCATCAGTATCACTTTTTCAGGAATGCTTTCTTTGACCCCTAATCGCAGTCAAATTCCTTGCAATAACTTCTCTTGGAATCCTGCTGTTTTTCTTGACAACACCTATTTCAGTTTGTAATTACACACTCAAAATCTGATTATTTGATAATGTCATTCTCTTGCACAGATATTAAATTATGTGACAGTAGGGCACGTTTCTGTTTTGCTCAGCATCGTATCTGCAGCACTCAGCCCAGTGCCTGTCACCATAGTAGAAGCACAGTAAATATGCACAGAATGAGCAAATAAGCTATACTTAGATGAACTTAGAAATTGACCCTAAACTAGTGCCTACTGTCCTGTTGAAGTACCCTCCAATGTCTGCTTGATTGTAGAAGACTAAGAATGCTGACCCTTATTTATATTTATTTAGCACCCGCAGTTGGGCAATACAAACACTTTCTAGTGTTATTTTGGGGGACTTAGCAGAAGTTC